TTAAAGTCCCCAACTATAATTATGACAGCATGTGCATAAAGTTCTTCTAGAGTTTCTAACGAAGTGGAAAGAGAGTCCCAAAGGGAAGCCTCATAATACTGGGAATTTCCTGGCGGAACATATACATTCACCACAAGTGAAATTATTTCATTGTCTGCTGTAATTTTAATGACAGAGGCTAAGCTCCCTTATCATTTATGCTACAGTTGCTGTGGTCTGGATGAAGTTGAGGACCTCCCTCGCTATTTGTTTAGTTCTCCTTTGTCAAAGGGAATTAGAGAAAAATACCTTGTGGGGTTATCTTTAAAAAAAATTGTTTGTGTGCCAAACATTTGTAAAAATTGCTTTTTAATATTCTAGTATCACTTTAAAAGCTGCAACTTTCTTAATGGCATTAACTAAAGCCCATGCAAGCTGCTATTAAACATTCCCAAAAGTGTGAATGGTTTTATTACTTACTGCCCAATGGTTTTATTCTGTATATTTTAATTCCTACTGGAAAGCTTAGTACTAATAGAAATGGTGTTGTAAATTCTGTTATATTTTATATTGTAACTTCATTATTTGATATTTGTATATATTTGTTAATTGATATTCTGAGAGCCAGTGTGGTATAATGGTTTGAGTGCTGGGCTACAACTCTGGAGATGAGGGTTCAATCCCATGGAAACCTACTGGGTGACCTTGGGTGAATTACACCATGCCCAGAAAAAACCAGATAGGTTTGCCTTAGGGTTATCATAAGTTGGGAATGACTTGAAGACAACAACAATAACAAAACAACAAAAACTTTGTATAATTCTAAGCAATTTAAACTTGAACTGATATATTATTATACTATAATATCCTACTATGCTGTAATATATTATCTGGTTATTTGTTTTCTTCTGTCCTATTCTTCTGGCAGATGAACCGGGAAGTCATTGAACTGCCTGAGAGACGCTCCCAGCAGACACATACAGAGCTCTCCAGTATTTTGATTATCCAAAATATGAGCCTACAAGACCTGGGAAAATATACATGCAAGGCTAGCAGTGGAGAGCAGGACTTGGAGGAGAGCATAGATGTCATCGTACATGGTAAAAACCATTCATTCACACTTAGAAAATCTTGGAGGTACTTCGTTTTTCAACTTTTTCTTTCCTATTTCATGAAAGATTTTTTCTATGCAAGATTCTTTCTTGTTTCATGAAAGAAACACCAGACAAAGGAGGCAATAGATAATATTGTGTGGAGACTAACCCTCTGTCCTTTGTCACCTACCATATAAATAATATGGTGTATTATTTATATTTATATTTATATTTATTATAATATGGTAAATATAAATACCATATAAATAAATAATATAAATAATAAATAAATAACATACATCATTATTGTATTATTATTTTTATTGTTGTTATCATTATAATTATCATCATCATCATCATGTGACACACCATACTGTCAAGGAACATGGCATACAAGAACAAGAATCAAATGCAAAGGTGTGTGAAAATAAATGGTGGTATCATTTATATCCCAACTTTCTCCCAGCATAGACCAAAGGCAGTTCATAACATAAACTAAAACAAAGTAGAGTTTTAAAAGTATAATTATAATAAAAAGTTTAAAGGGCAATTAAATAAACTAATTCCATTTTAAAAGTTTGAGGCATTTAGAACAAAACTGTGAAAATTAATAGTACAGCTTACTCATACTATTTAAAAGACCTTTCTGTGTCAACCAGTTAATAGTACAAGGCCTTTTTAAATGAAAAAGTCTTTGCCTGCAAGCAGAAGGAGTGAAAAGTGTCTATCTTCCTGTGGGGCTAATTTTCACATTTTGGAAGCAACCACTGAAAAGACTGGCCCTGTGGAGCTTAAAAATCAGTTGGTTTCATGTAGGGAGGGTCATTATGTTAGTCTGGACTCAAGCTGAAACAGTGAAATGGTTGGCCCAATCACTGTGAAGCGAGTCATTTGCCCTCCTTATGCATGTGTCATTTTTCAAGAGATCTACGCTATAAATCACAGCCACTATCATTCAGACAAAACAAACTTTTTCTTGAACTGAGAAGTTATGTCAAAAGAAGCAATAAGTGTCTAATTAAAATCTTCATTCAGTGATTGACAGGATAAGGTAAATTGGCATGGCCAGTGTATAAGAAATGTGGATTGCCATGAACATCACAGATGGTTCTCACAAGAAGGGCTCTGTGTATACATATTATTTATTTTCTGTCAGATCCATACTCCTCCTCTGTGCATGGATTAATAGTACCTCTGCTATAGCTTCTTTTAATATATTTCATTCTGCTTTCCCCTCATTTCAACCCTCTTATCTGGCTGGCTTTACAGAGAAGCCCTTCATCAACGTTGAGTGGAGGAAGGGACCAGTAATAGAAGCAACAGCAGGAGATGAAATCGTGAAACTGCCAGTGAAAGTGGTTGCCTACCCCCAGC